GGCAGGGCGATATTTATTTTGAAAACATATTAATTAAAGCCGGCATGCCCCAGGAAGCATCCTCTGGCCTATCCTCTATCTTATACATGTTAAGGATTTCCCTATGATTGAAAATCCAAAGTGCATCACCGCCTGCTACACAGATGATATCGCCATTCTTTTTAGTTCACTTAATCCTCAAACAGAATACAAAACAACACAAACAAGGAATGGTGTCGCAAATGGAAGACGTCCATTAATGCCATAAAATCCAAATTATTACTCATAGGACGGCACAGAAGAAAAAACATTGATGGGGATTTGACCCTTTTTAATGAAACAGTATCTAAAGTCAGACAGGCTACATACTTGGGAGTTCATTTTAATGGTTCTCTTACATGGGGACTTCACATTTCCATGGCCATCGGGAAAGCTATAGGGGTTCCTAGAAAGCTCCAAAACTTTCTTCATGCCTCCTCACCACTGGATCTTGCTCACAAGAAGCGCATTTATACATCAATATCAAGACCCATCCTTGCATATGGCTCCCCTGCATGAAGCTCTGTTCCCACCTCTGGATTAAATAAGTTGCAGGTTTTCCAAAACAACTACTTACGAAAAATCATGGGAGCTCCTCTGGTTCATTTGCAATGAACAGCTACACAGAGACCTTAAACTCCAAAGTCTGGCATCATTCATCAATAAATTAAACAATAACTTTTTCAACAAACCCATCACCAATGCAGAGGTAAATTATTCAGACAATTTTAAGTTATGAGCTCCTAGAAATAGACATCAATTTAAGGCCCTATGCAACCCAATTTTATTGGAATCCCCCGTAAAAATTTTAAATTTCTTCCATCCAAAATCAAGCAGCATTTCGGGGTCAGTACTCGGGTAGGTGACCACCCACATGACTGACGCCTGCGAATCAGTACACTTTCCTATGTTTCTCTCATCTAACTACTGATTGGCTTCCTATAAAGCAACACATTTTAACTACACATACATAATTTGCCTTTCCGTTCATGGCATTTTCATTTACACAGGCCTGGACCACATCTACACAATCTTCCTACAGTTCCTTATCAAGGTATTCCTGTGAAGCACTGTATGTTATGTCTTCCTTAACCGGGGTTATTTGAGGTGCCTGAAATAGCAGGATATAATTCCTGCTGGAACAGGCATATCAGAAGTATCAAAGTATCAAAATTTTCCAATTTAAATGGAATTTGTGAAGAAATATATTGAGATCATATAACATAAGTGCTCAGTTGTGATGATAATGCCACAATCATCTGATGAAACAAAACAACAAACTGATGAAGTCTAGCATTAGGAATGGAAACAAATAAATAAGCAGAGATTCATCTGGATTAACATATATTGAAATACAAAAATCATTACAGGCACAGTAAATGTTACATGATAAGCATGGTAAAGTAAACAAGTGACAACAATTGAAAACGTTGCCAAAAAACAAGAAGGTAAAAAATCGTGTTGCCACACATGTTGCAAAATACAAATAGGAAATATAATCACAAATTAAGAAATATAATCACAAATTAAAAGTTATTTGCAACACAAACAAATGGCGAAATCTGTAGTAACTTTAAATTCAGAAAATATTACTATCCATAAAGAAGAAAGTGACGAAGAATTCAAATGACAAAGAAAGGATTTTGAATGACAGTTTAGTAGGAATTCTTGACATCGCAATTACAGGACTTAAACAAGGGAGGTTTAAACTTGAACTAAGCAAGATGTCAAGCAGCCTTACTCTGTCCTAAGAGCCCTCAGGCCTTTTGTGAAGTCTGTCTATAAAATTAAAGATAAAATATTAGCACAAAAAACAAAACAGCTTAAGTAGCTTACAATGAAAGAAATGGTTAATAAATAAATTAATAAAGAAAATAAATATTGAGGTTATTTCCTGTACCTTTTTTTGGTAAATTTTGATTTCTTTAAAGTCATAAACATTTGATTATTTCAAACAACTATTTCATATTTTTTAATTTTGAAATTTCTACAGGCTATTTTACTAAACTAATGATCTAATATCTGGAAATTTCTGAAATCGCCAAAGTCCCGACAATTCTGAATCTTGAACTTTGCATTGTATCACCAAGTATAATTCCCCTCCTTTTTGTAAGTATAAAATGTTTCCAAGTATTATTTACAAATTCTATTTTCAGATTATTTTAACGATTGTGTACATGAAAGAAGAAATTTATTTATTTAAATAAACGAATGCAATTTTTTTAATCCACATGCATTTTTTTAAATTATGTAATTTTGTTTCATGCACAAAAGTTCTGCAACATGCAATTTAAGTGGTTGATGTGGCATTCTTTGATGATTTTTATTTTGCTACTTTGTACCAACTGTTTGTACACCAACTGTTCAATCTCTCATGAATGTGCACCATTTTTTGGATTCACAAAATTGTATTAATGGTTAATTTTAAAATGTTAAAATCCACCAACTTCTAAAAATGATACAAATATTTGTTACTGGAATTATGTATAATTATTATTGATTCTTTGGCAGCTACATATAAAAATCATGTAACGTATCTCATGTAACATATGAAAATAATCCATAATACAGGCTGAAAGTGGATTGATTCATCAGATATGAAAAAAGGACATAAAATGGATGAATTAACATACTGAGAGAAGGTAATTTGTTGTACTATGAAATCACTCTGTAGGACTAAATCCCAATATAGTTATATATATATATATATGGGGACAATGAAGAGAAGGTTTCATGCATCGCTGGGTGAGGTCTGAAGTAATAGCATGAAGCTGAAATGGTGCAAAAGGTGACTAGTAGATCAGTATCTGCAGTTGTCATTGCTACACTGTGGATGCATATTAAACTGCATGGAATGCAATTCCAGAGATACTATCCAATATTTTTATCAGCCAGTACCATGCTATATACAGTTTGCTATGGCACACAAAGGACTAATTTGATATGTTCTTTCCCTGGCATAAAGATTTGTTGTTGCAATCCTTTTTGCCTTATATCACATGTCATCACCCTTTTAGATACCTATGTTATAATAGTTATAATATATGTTCTTATTAATGCTGCAGTTTTATTGGACAGTAGTACAATGCTGTTGGAATGAGATGGCTCCTGACCTAATGCAACCTAAGATGTGCCAAACAGGATTAATGCCGTTCCCCGCCATTGTTCAATCGACAATGTTGCGACCCCACAGAGCAAGGGCAGACAAGGCAGTGGTATGGTCCCTGCCGAGCCTTACTCTGTCCTGAGAGTTCTCAGGCCTTCTGTGAAGTCTGTATTATACCCCCCTGGTTGAAGACTGCCTAAATACATATCCTAATCAGTACTTCCCAGGCGTTCACCTAAGTCAACCTCCAGGGGGTACGGACAGTAGGACAGTACAAAGTTCGAAATCCTGACGTCCATTATCTGGAATGATCTAAAATTTGGAGCTAGAAGCCATCAACAACGTTTTTCTCTTAGGCTTTATGCATGCGCATTTGATTTCCCCCTCCGCGCATAATAAAACATCTGGACAGTGCTGATTCTTCACTTCGACACTAAATAAAATACCTTGTTTTTGAAAAAAAAAAAATAAAAAATTAGCATAAATTTGTACGATCATTAATTTGGCTCTGTTGCTGCTTTTTGGCACACATCTCAAACCAAAACATTCCACATAGATACATCGTTGATCTGATGTCAACCTGGCAAATCATTATTCATTATTTATTATACTTTCCTTTCATCCACTGCATGTTTATCAAAACATGACAACTTAAGTAATGACTCATGTAGCGATGACTAAACAATGTTTTTATGTTAGTAATTAAATAATATGGTATAAGGAGTATGGTAACCTTCTATGTTGAAATTACACTTGGCAATGATTACAGATTTAAGTCATAGATGATTACAGATTGCAGAATTTAGGACCCATAGAGACTGCATCAGGTGGTAAGCATCAGGTATATCTAGCGAAGGCCCTCAATAAGGCTTAAGTATATGTGGGAATTTTATTCAGAACTCTAATAAGCCTTAAGCATGTGATAAGAAGCAAGAAATAGACATAAGTGTAGTAAATAACTAATACAATTCAGGCTTAATTGTCTCAGTGCGCGATAGAAGCAATATAAAATTTAACGGAACAACTTGTAGTTAGTCGCCAAGCTCATGATGCATAGCTAAATATGTATAGTGAAGGATAGCTAAATTTGATGATAATAGCCACTAATTTTAAAGGTTTTCGAATACGCAACAAAGGTTAAATTTTCCATTAACATTTTAAAGAAATGTGGAGAAGTGGTAATAATGAAGAATTATATAAAGAGTTTTTCATTGTGATACAATGCTTCTCAATCATCAATAATTATGAATGGCAAAATCTTTTATGGTTCTAATCCAGAAATACGCTACACCGATATGAAAAATGACAGAGAAGTTACTGAAACGAAAAATTCGTGACATTATCGACTTCACACAGCTGACTGATTCACAGGACGAACAAGAGAGGAGTTGTCTAAGTTAAAGAGAAAGTATAGCACAAAACAAAGCAACTAACAAACTTAATTAAAGAAATGTTTAATAGGTAACAAATAATATAGCTTTTTTTTGTGTGTAAATGGATACACTTTAGATCATAATAATTCTTCATTGCATGAATCACGATTTCATATTTTTAATTTTATGATTTCTACATGCCAGCTTACTAGATTTAAACCGATGATCTAATATTCGGAAAAATCTCAAATCCAGAATCGCCGAAATTCTGATGAGTCCGGATTTCGAACTTTGCACTGTATATAATAAATTGTTTCCATAGGATTTGAATGAATTTCTGTTCTTGAACTCTTGGCACTGACTTCATTCCCTCCTCAGCAGTAATTTACACCCTACTAATAAAAAGGTACAAAGCTTAGAAAAAAATTTTTAGACCTAATATTTAACTACTGTGATTTATGAGAAAAAAATTATTAAAAAAAAAAAAAGGCAAGACATCTTACCTCCAAGATTACCTACAATTTCCAGATTTAATTGACAGTTCCCACATTCTTTTGAAATTTCAAATGCTTGACACTGAAAAAACAATAGAAGTAATTCGAAACCTAGCTTCACTGTATGGGAAAGGAAAAAAAACAAAAAAATTTTATTTTCATGAAATGAAACATACATACCTTGTAAAATCTTGAAAGAGTAAATTATATAATTTACAAATCTGATACAAGTTACATTATAATATAATATTAGCTATCATTTTAATACATATCTTTACATATTTAGATGATTAAATTACAGTAAATTCTCAATACAGAGGGTCTCAATTCAGACTGTTTATTAAAAGAAGTTCAAGAGAAGGGGGAACAATTAAGAAAGGCAAGGAAATTATATTTTTAGGTACTCTTCCATTTTTGGCGGCACAAATCTCGCTAAGAAGAATCTACTAGCGACAATACACAGTATATACATAAAAAAATGTTGACAAATGTTAATTCTAAGAAATTTTTATTTTAAAGGTATAAACATTTTAATGTCATTAAAATTTGTAAAAAAGCAATAATAAGCCAATAAATTGTGAAAAAGACATTAATTTAAGAATTACTATGCTTTCATGGAAACATACTGATTCGCCGGGTCATTACGGACCCCAAGTGAATCTCATCTCATCTACAAAAAATCTAATTCTTTTAGTAATTATCTAAATTTAATTTCAAGTTAAATCTTTAATGGAAAATACCCAAGTTTAAAATGCACAACTATTTCAATTCGTATGAATAAATTACTTACTCAGAAATTATGTAAAACCGCAGTGCTTTACTTCGCTAGTGCATTCTCATTAGAATTGATGAATTTAACCCTTGACTTTGCCTTCTCTATATTTTTGCCATCAGGCGAATGGTGTGATTGCATTCTAATTGACTTAATTACCATCAGCAAATGTCCTCAGGGCATAAAATTGAACTATCTGGTAAACATTCTATGTAATTATATGCCAATATTGAAAGAAACAATAAGAATTGGCTGCGACTTGTTTTGAAAATGAGGTAAAAGGTTACCAGTGAGTATATTTCGTTTGGTTTCAGTTGTACCATACCGGCGACTTTATCGCCTGTGCGGGCAAAATGGAAAAATACCTATTTTTATTACTAAATATAGCTACAAGTGTAAAAAACATTATTTTATTATTCATGCCATTATTTATATTATTAATACAACATTTATAATAAAAATATTTTTTATGTACAAGACATTTTATGATAATAAAAATATATAAAAGGTATAATAAAATTTGGGTATAAAAGTTAAGACAGGTCAGAGTCAATGACGTTTATATTTCTAGGTTCTTATCATCTCCAGACGATCAACAATATGAAGATTTGCATGCCCTCATTTGACTAGAAGGCTTAGGCTAGTTCCCTAACATTTTATGTATTAACACTTTCAAGTATATTTTTACCTACATTAAAAAGGAATATCATTTTACTTCTTTTTAAACCATGTGCCATTTGGGTGTAGTCAGGTGAGCTTGGCTCTCGCTAGTTCTATGCAAAGATGTATGTAAGTATTGAAAAACTCCACTGATTATATTCATCTTTCTTTTCCGAACATAAATTAATATAAATAGAGAAAAAGGAAAAAGTTTAGGTAAAAAACAGGAAAATGTGAAAAACCCACATTCATGAGAAAACTGAAGAAATCGGACATCGGTTACGCATACTAAGATTTTCTAGTGAGTATGGGTAATTTGTTCATCTTTTTTGATTCTGACATTGAAGTAACAGCAACCATTGGATTTTTAGAGATCTCCCATTTCAAAAGTGGCAATGAAAGTCATTTATAGAGACACTATTGTCATTCCATTGTGTTTGAAGCAAAGAACTTAAGAGTGAATATTATGTCCTTTGGTCTGAAGGTATAAATGAGATGGTAAAAGTGTCAATATGATGATAAAATCCTAAACATTCTGACAAAAGAAAGGCAACTGCAATTTTTGCAGTGTCTTCTTAAATTGTTGAAATGAAATTTTAATGCATGCAGTACTTAAGAAATTTAAAGCATAAAAGTACTATTTCAATGAGAAGTTCAGCTTATTTTAATGAATATTTATGCATGGCAGAGCCACTCTCAAGCTCTCCCACAACTGTGGGTGTTGTGAAATAACTGAACTGGCACTGGTGGCTGCACCTCCCAAAATTAAATTGTAGTTTACTTACCCAACCTTAATCTTCTTCAGATGATCATGAACTGAACTTTTTGGAATATTTAATCTGTCTGATGGCTTTTGAAATAAAAATTTGTCATGAATATGGATAAATTACGTTTTTAGATAACTTAGTTCAAAAGTGGTTTGGGAAGTCTAAACATTTCAGCCTCAAAGATGATGTCTGCTCTGGATGACCATACTTTGTAAACAAAGAACTATTAAAAGAAGGTGTTGCTGAAAATCCATGTCATACGGACCAAAAGACGAATAAATATTTCATATAATAATATCCATGTCATATAGACCAGAGGACCAATAAATATTTCTTCTCTGTATGACATGGATTTTCAGCAACAGCTTCTTTTAATTGTTCCTTGCTTACAAAAAATGGTCATCCACAGCAGACATCATCTTCGAGGCTGAAATGTCTAGACTTCCCAAACCACCTTTGAACTGAGTTATCAAAAAAACGTAATTTATCTGTATTCACTACAAATTTTTATGAGCAGTCTGAATAGAACTTTTTTCTTTAACCCAAAATTCATTTTCATTTTTATTTTAAACAACAAAACATGATGAAAAATCTGAGTTCTCCATTCTTAGTACTGCATTCAAGAAAAATTATGCCACAACACATGATAGAATTAATGCAATGTATGCAGAAAATAGTGTATTTTAACATCCCTTTTAATCAAGGTCACTTCTTATCAGCAGAAACAAAATAACTGGAAGAAAACATGCTTTAATTAGAAAAACTATAGACCTTTCCAGATGACACACTACTTTGAGACTATTAGTTCGACACTCCTGGTTTAAAGCAAGAGAAAAAGGGAAAAAAACTAATTAAGTACAGTATTTATATCTATATCTCTGCACGGTTGTTCTCAAATCTACTACAGAACTATGGATACTTACAGTATATTTATTTGGAAGCAACAGCTACTGGTAATGACTGACAGTAACCTCAGTATTAGTTACTACACACAATAGTGATGGTCTGGTAGATTTTCTTTTTAATGGATGCTGCTTCATTATCATCTGCTATGCAGCTTTAAAAAAGGATGAAAAGTTTATCAAATAAAATAAATTATCTATTTCCAATTCTATCACCTCTGTTCTACATACCATCCAGAGTACTATTGGGATAAAGTAAAAAATATCTAATTCTTCTTATGCATCTTAGTAGATAATCTATAAGCACAAAAACTACGTTTATTTTTAACACACATGTCTTATATGAATGTTTTGATAATGCATTATTCACTAATATTTACAGTTTAGTGGGGTAACAAAGGCTACATTTTCCTCACCAACTAAAATTGATTTACGTACTTACTGAACTCTCAGTTATCTCATCACTATCAAAAATATGGTTTTATTATAATAGCTAGATTTAATTAGTAATTTTATTAGTTTACACCAGGGGTCGGCAACCTGCGGCTCGCAAGCCACACGTGGCTCTTTTGATGTAAAGTTGCGGCTCTCCAGTTCCATATGGAAAAACTAATAATGTATTATCAAACCCTTAAAAAATAAGAAAATATTTTTAAAAACTAATTTTCAGTAGCTTCTATTTCATAATCGCCAATTACGCTTCAAAGGACCATAATGAGATAAAATTTGAAACCATTGTTACTGTACTGTTAATTTGAACTATTGTTCATTTTTTCAGCTCCACCATCAGCATAGCAGCTGGTAAAAAAAAAAAAAAAAAAAAAAAAGAGAGGAGAGAGAGAGAACTGAAGAAGAAAACCGAGAACTCAATTAGGATTGGGTGCAGTCGTTTGCATTCATATGCAACACAGATGGCCTTCTGAACTGTCTCATTTGCCAATAATACACACAATAAGTCGAATTTGGGGAGACACTTCATACAAAATATACCCAGTTTGCTGGTAAATATCCAAACGGGGATGCCACGAAAAAAGCTCTTGAAGAGCTCCAAAGAAAAAAGCAAATCCATGCTAAGTTAACTGGGCACAATATTACAATAAAATAATATGCCAAGCTCTGCAGTTATCTTAGAAATTGCAAAAAGAGTTAAAAACCATTACCTCAAATAGCCAAAGATTTTTTATACGTGCATTGAATAAACTGTTTCGTGATATTAAAATTCAAAGCAGAAATCATAAACAAAATCAAAGATTGCCATTATCTGCAAATCAGTAAAAGATAATAGAATGCTAGCTGTTTTCAAATGTAAAAATATGCAAGTGGAGACATTCAGTTGGCTTTGCCTTATCACTTGCTATAGATGAGTCTTGTGAAATAAAAGACACGACAAAAAGTTACCCTTTAATAGGGTAAATATTTCTCCCAAGGTTCAAACGAAGAACTGGAGGATTGTTATCACTCTTGGGGGCAACTTCTAGTGGAGAAGTTATAGAAACTGCTTGGTGCAAAAAGGCATGGAAGACAGAGGAAATCGATATAACATAAAATTCGTGTCAATAGCAAACTACTAGAGTAGAAGTATGGCAGAGGGGAAGGAATACACAGAGGGGTAACATCAATCTCAGAAAAAAGTTAGAACCATGAAACGCTAAAGTTTCAATGGGTTATTCATCAAGAAGCGTGGGGCCCAACATTTCTGGGCGAACTTGTTGAGGTCATGAACTTGGTAATTAAGATTATTAACAGCATTTTGCAAAGCACTCTACCATCACCAGTTCAAAGATTTCCTTGATAGTTAACCAGTTTTTCTGACCTACTTCTGCACAATAAAGTGTGATGACATTCCAGAGGTAACGCATTGCAACGTTTTACCTTCTGCTTGAGTGGAATAAAAACATTCCTCAATGAAAAAAGCATTGAGCAACCTGAATTGGATAAAGACAAACGGCTGCAAAAATTCTACTTCATGGTAGATACCATAATGAAACTAAATGAA